TGCTGAATGACGAAAAGGCCCTTGCCATGTCTGTGGAGATGGAGGGTAATTTCGTCCGCGTGGGGAAAGGACATTGTATTATGGAGCTGCGATGGTTCAGCATGGAGTGCATGGACCTGTCCCTTTTATGTCCAAAAGCTGAGAGGTTATAATGGACGGTAGAGATTGAGTCTGGTTTGTATGGAAGATCTTCGCCGTTGGATTGTGCCATGGTGGGCGTCCTTATCGATGGCCATCCCCGAAGCCTTGTCGCAATCCTAAACTTTTTTTTTAATTATAATTTAATTCTTTTATTAATCAATAATATATTTCCTTTTCACGTTTCATTTTCTTTTCTACAATTAATTATTTTCGTTGGTTGACCATAAAGAAATTTCAAATAAATATTTTTTAAATAAACTAATCAATATAACTAAAGTGAGACATGTTTCTTGACTGAATTATCAACTGTATCTCGAATTTTAATTTTTTTCAAAAATAACTTGTTAGTTGGATAAATTAACTAATTAAAATATTAAATTAAAAATATAATTTTATTTGTGTAGGTCTATCATAATTTATTTAATGCTCCATTGTCAAACAACCATTGAGTATTTCAACCATTAAATTCAATTGTAAAATTGAATTTTTTTTTTTTATTTTTCAATTATTCAACTACGAACAAAATGACAATTAGAGATGTTAATTTAATTAATGACAAAATGACAATAAAAAATGGAGAGAGATTTCTCTCCATTAACTAAACAGAATTATACTCCGGAATTATATTTTTCATCTTCTATCTCGTCCTGCATGACCTCATTTTTTAAATATAAATGTAAATACATTTAAAAATGACAAAAAATAATAATAATAATAATTTATTGTGAGTTGTCATGCACGTGAGGTGCAATAGTTAATTAGTACAATAAAAGGCCGTGATTAAGACTTAAATTACGACATAAACAAATTAATTGAAATTAAGCAACAACCCCCACGCATGGTTCCCCCGGGAATCTCTCTTAAACTGGAGCGCAGAAGGTTACTTAAAAATATTTATTTAATTAATTTTTTAAAAGTCAAGTAAACTAAATAATATATAAATAAACCACTAAATACTTAATTTTCTTGGTTTTTTAAAATTTTGAAAAATTAAAGAGATTAAATTTATAATTTATATAAAAAAATAAAATTAATTTGTGTATAATTTAATTGATTTATGTCGTAAAAAAAATAGATAATTTGTAAAAATTAATGTAATAAATAAATAGAATAATGTTGTATTGTTGGATGTCGTGTAATAATAAAGATTTAATAATCCTAGGTGATGACTTTTCAATAATTTATTTTTGTTAAACTGTCAGAATATATATTTTTTTTATTAAATATTAAAAACAAATTGTACGACTTTTAGGGGCTTTGATTTGCAACTTTGAGACCTGCTTGCACGTGAAGTGGCATGTACAAAACCCAACTTTTAATTATACATGTTATTATTAAAATTAATTGCAAACTATTTATGCAAATCCCAAGTTTATATATAAAAATATTAATAATTATTTGTAAAATATCTATTTATTATTATTCAATTTCAGTATTTATTTTAAAATTTTATCTTCGAAATTGTTTAAAGAAATTATTTATAAAAATTGATCAAGAATAAATAATTGTAAAATAGTTATGAAATTAAAATTATATACAACTGTCTTAAAAATATAATTATTTTTTAAAATAAAAAATAAGGCGATTCAACTTAAAATAATTATAATAGTAATAATTTTATAACAACAAAATTCGATCATTCATAGTCAAGTAACCTACTTATCACTTTTTAAAAGTGAAGATTATTCCCACAAATCAATACGAGTCATTACATTATGTTTTGTCCTAATTCGCACGTATCTCAATAAATTCATAAAATACCATACAGCATAATTTAAATTTATTAGGTATATTCCTAGGATTCCTCTCATTTGGATGTGATTTTATTTAATTAGCGTATATTTTTTTTTTGCTCGGAGTGTCCCAAATTTTATTCTTTTAACCGAGTGTTACAATTTTTTTTTTTTTTGTCGCCTTTAAAAAATAATATAATTGTCAGAATTTTAACGTTCGATCTCCAAACCCTAATTTTTGTTGAGAAAGAAAAAGATAAAAAGGAATGAAAATGAAACTATAATACAGTGTAGAAATGAGAGTGGTCCACGAAGCTTTATTAAGGTTGAAGACGACTTTTAAACGACCATATATAAATAAAATAATAATAAAAAATAAAACTTCGTACTAATCCATTATCCATTAATTTACCTAATTATCTTATGATTTGACATTTTCTCTTTTATTATTTAAAATATATTTTTGTTACAATTATTTAATTTGTACTCAAATAAAAATTTAAATAATTTATAACTATTTAAGAAAATAAATTTGAGTTAAATGTTTGAAAATAAATAAATGAATAAATATTTTATAAACTAGTATTTTACTTTATTATATTTAAATAAATTATTCAAATGGTTAAATTTAATATAAAAAAATGTCACAATTCATTAAATTAAAAATATAAACGATGTCAAATTGAAATATTTTAAACTATAGGTTATAAATTAAATGAAGTCAATTTATTTAAAATAATAGCTTTAAATTGCTATAAATTGGGTTATTATTATTATCGCGTTGCGCGTTGGGTCTATATGTTAGGGGAGGTGGCTTAAAAAGGGCTGACAACCCTTTCTTCTGTCCAATCAAAATCTTACACGTCAGCTTTCCCTCTTCTTTCCTCAACTGTTTTTTTTTCAACATCTCTGTTATTGGTTTATTTATTTTAACATCCTTTGTAATTCAATTTAAAAATTAAAAACATTAGTCAATTATTAAATATATATATATATACATTAAAAATGATTTAAAAACGTTTTAAAATTGGAAAAATTTCTATAAAAAATACTTATATGTTCGTATATTTATGATAATAATTTTTATAAACATAAATGAAGAATAAAAACTATTGATAGACACCTTTTTAGTCGTATTGAAAGTAACAATGTCAACACCTAGAAGTAACGAGACAGTTCGTGACAACCACTCCTATAAAGGCAAAGACTATCCTTTCACGAGGTACACAATATATTCTAAGTTGTCCCGAGACAAGCTCGAATGGGTACTAACTTAAATTTACAAGTGTACGGGTTCGAGCACCACAACAATACAAAATTTATATGTTAGATATAATTTCAATTGATTGGAGTTCACCTCAAATGTCACATCAATAGCTACCATCTCGTCATAAAAATTGCGCCTCAAATACAAAATATAATTAAATGTAAACCTAAGGATTTTATGAAAGGACTCTTAAAGTCAAACTTTGACTTTAGATAGCTCGATTTAATATATTATTTAATATAATATAAATATTAAAAAATGGAATAAAAAAGGTTGGATACACATAGGACATATATGTCTTTGTATAAATTGGTACAACAATTGAGGTACATAATTGCAACAACAATTAAAAAAAAAATCAAATAATAATAATAATAATAATATGAAATTATTAAGACTATTCATAAATGTGACATATGAAAGTAAAATCTAATTCTAATTAATTTGGCCACCAACAACAATAAATAAAAATACAAAAAAATAAATATTAAAATTAAATATTTTGGGGGTGAGGAGGCAGTTCAATAAATAAAAAGGACACGACACTAAAATTAAATGCATCAAAATTTAGTTAATGGGAGTGTTACATCATTGGCTATAATTGAAAACCCATTGGGACCCACCAATAAATATTTTTTAATTCTAAAATTAATTACTTTATTATATGTTATTAAATCGTTAATAAAAACTTTCGATACATCGTTTGATAAATATTATTATTATTTTTGTAAACTTAATTTTTTTTAATTTACTGAATAGACTTTACAAATAAAATATAATTTAATGTGTCATTTAAATATTTTTATAAATCTATTAAATACAAAAATTATATTATAAATAGTTATTTTGGAATTTATGGACCAAATAAAAAAAAATAGTAGTATAAATTTGTAATTTTCTTATTATGAGGAGGTGGTGATGTGGGACCCTTGAATTGATCGGAGGGCTGAGGATTTTTACGAAATCTGACGTGCCCCGACGGCTGGACCACAGCCCGACACGTGATTTTTATGTCTACAATATTGCCTTCCCCTTCGCGTTGTGTCACCACCACCAACCTCTTTCTGTTTTTGTCATTTTCTACGAAATTACCATCTTACCCTTCTAGGTTTAAACTTCAAATTTTTGTTCGTATTAATTAATTTTAAAGAAGAAAAATATGGTTCCATGTAAAAGAGATTCATGGAATAAAGCCCACCCAAATTGTTTTTTGGTACAAGGTTGAAAATAAAAAAATATTAAAATAAAATAATAATAATAATAACTTTATTTTTTTTTTTTCTACTAATTTTCAACCTTTATCAGGCACCTTATTCATGAGTTAGGAAAAAAGTGGGATGGCTTTCTAACCTACCCTACTTTAGCTTTTGACCCTCATTTAATTATTATATAATTTATTTTAATTTTATTAAATTAATCTGTACACGCTCGGGAAAATAAGATAAATATTATTAATGTAAATAAAATTTAAATTAATTTGGAAGTAAATATTTATTTATTAACTTAAATATAATTACACAATAATGATATAAGGAAATCTCTCCCGACAATATTGTCATTGGGCCTATTAATCTACTAGGCGTCTTTATTGGGCTCAATTAAAAGGCCCAGCTTAATTCAGGCCCAACAATTATAACAGAATTAATTATTATTGGTTAACTTATTGCTAATGATTTCTAATTAACTATTAATTTCAATATATTATTTAAACTTAATGAACTACAACGTTTATAATTAATTGATAAGATTATCTTAAAAATTTAATATAAAAATTTGATTGATTATTATATCAAAATTTGCAATTTGCCCCAAATCGTTTATATATATAAGAAACCCTAATTTCTTGGGCTCGTCATTTGCGCATTTCACTGGAGAGGCGGCAGGCTTTCTTATTATTTGGGAGCCGAGAAAATCGATTTGCAGAAATGGATTCGGTCGCGAAGGTTTTGTATCCAGAAATCACGATCTTTCTCGGATTTTTAACATTCGTTCTTCTTCCTAGTTTGATTTTTTCTAACTTCAGATTCGAGATCAAGAATCTCCTTGTTTATTCGGAACTTTTATCGATCCGATCCAAAATTTTTCTGGTTCCGATGATTTCGATGGCGAAATTAGGCTTCTGTTCTTGTTTATTCGGAACTTTGTCGATCCGATCCAAAAGTTTTCTAGTTCCGATGATTTCGAAGGCGAAACTAAGCTTCTGTTCTTGTTTATTTGGAAATTTGTCGATCCGATCCAAAAATTTTCTGGTTCCGATGATTTCGAAGGTGAAACTAGGCTTCTGTTCTTGTTTTTGAAGGAAATTTATGAACACTTGTTCTTTATGGTGCTGATGATGAGAACATTTCAGGCATGAGCCGCAGCAATACGATTGCGCTCCGTGTAGACGAGATTTCTACATGGGTTGTTGCTGCGATGAAGAATGTGCCAAAATGCTAATCTGAAGCTTATTTTTCTTTACTCAATTTTTTGAATCGATTCATTAACGTTAAATTAAATTTGGATAGGTTTCAATTATTACTGGATTTTGCATCATTTCATTCTCATTTTGAACTAAGAATTTTGTTTGAACAAAATTTTACAAGTATATTTTCCTAGAGATTGAACTGACAATGACAAAATCACACCTGAAATTATTTTTATTTTTTTCTTTTCAAAATGTGCCTTTGTTTAATAGAAACATATAATTCAACAATTAATTTATGACTACAATTCATTTTCTATAACAATGTTTTATTTAACTTTTTGGTGGTAAATTTTCATAAATTTTAAACATTTAAGTATAAGATTATATTAGAAACATTATTTTAAAACGTATTAAAATGCACAACTATCCAATTCGTATAGCATGAACATTATGTTGTAAATAAATATTTTAATGGAGAAATAAAATTTAAATTTTATTTTAGTACAATTTTTAATTTTATCTTATTTCATCTCTAAAATTTTAAAATAATTATTTTAACGTTTAATATTTTTTAAAATGATCATCTTTTTATCTTTTATGTTGTGTTATTTTATATAAAATGTTGTGTTATTTTATATAAAATGCTAAGTATTCAAATTTATACTACCAAAATTAGGAGGCTGAGTTTGGGGTTTTTTTTTTTAAATTATTTTAAAAAAATCATATTATGTATTATATTAATAATTAAAATTTCATTAAAACTTATATTTCATAAAACTCTCCACATTTATAAGTTATAACACAGTGCCGCAAATTAAAAAAAAAATATATATTAGCCAACTCATCAAAAAGTGCCACGTAAGGCAGTTAGTCATTTTGTTAATTCCACGTCACTATTATTAACGACGAAAGAAACTTTGACTAAAAATGTCCGGTTCAAGACTTATCATAGGGCAAAAATGTAATTTGGCTCAACAAAAAATTTAAATTAGTCACAATCGCGGTATCAATGGCGGACTTGGCTAACTGGAATTCAATATTCTGATCCTACGGCCATCGTTCCAACAACAAAGTTTCCTTCGCGTACAAGCTTCCATTCTTTTCTACTCCTCAGCTGGCTTTCATATTTGATATTTCTGAGGTTATGTTTTGATTCCATCCCTTGGACTCCTCCTCTTCTGTCGATTCTTTTGGCGGTAGGCGAACAGATTCTATTTCCTTGTTACCATTTTCCTTCCATTTTTCTTCGAGATTGCATGCACAAAATAATCGGTCGTATTATTGGTGTAATTTTCTGTTCTGAGGTGATTGAATTGAGGTAAGAATCTTTTAATGTTATGCTTTATTGATATGATGTTACACGTTTGTTTGATTCGAAGTATTGTCATCCGATTGATCTTCCTGGCGTTGCTTGGAAGTTCTGCTGTTATTGGTGTAGTTGAAGGAGTGAATTGGGGGTAAAGTAGTAGAATCTTGAGAGTTAAGTAATGTTCCTTGTTTTTCTTTTGAAATTTGTGTGTGAACCAAAAAAAAAAAAAAAAAAAAAAATGGTGGGAAGTTCATAAAATCTATCCTACGCCGGCACTTTGATGATGAATTTTTGATAGGTACGGACTGGAAAAATCTTTGGAGCTTAATGTTAAATTACATATGAACAAGCTTTTTTAGAATTGTATGACGTTTGATTGAACCTCTTTTGGATTGACCATATGGATGTTTGCTACAATTACATAACGATTTTAATTTCCTGCAGTGCCTGATATTCAATTACTTTCATGGATTCATTTTTGGGAAACACCGTGATGAAGTTGGCTTTGAAATCAGACCCTGAAGAGCATCGCGTTGCATTGTTTGTATTACTTCTTTGTGCTTGTATTGTAATTGGGCATCTTCTTGAGAAAAGTCGTTGGATAAATGAATCAGTCACTGCAATTTTCATTGTGAGTTGCCTTTAAATTTTTTAAGTTACGCATGTATTATGTATTCGTGTATCTTCAAGCCCAGGAATTTGAATTTGTGATATTTGTTTGTTGTTTACAGGGTCTTTTCACTGGAACTCTCATCTTATTAACAACCAAAGGCAGAAACTCACGTATCCTAGTGTTTAGTGAAGAGCTTTTCTTCATTTATGTTCTTCCACCCATAATTTTTAATGCTGGGTATGTAATAATGATCGAGTTGAGTGTTCTTTTTGTTGTTGCAGTGGGTTCATATACTCTTATTTCCAAGCACATCAACATTACTTTATTTGTATAATATAAACCTTGTACCGGTGCCATCATTGACAAATTTTCTTTACTCATATGAGTTTTGTTTCTTTCTCGAGATGCCGTAGCTTCCTAACTTAAGATTTCTCTCCTGTTTCAGGTTTCAGGTGAAAAAGAAACAGTTCTTTCGGAACTTTCTAATGATCATGTTGTTTGGGGCTGTTGGTACTGCGATTTCATTTTTCATCATATCACTTGGTAGTTTCTCTTATATTCTAAAAAATTTCACTCTCTTTTGATAGTGTACATCTAAATTTGTTGGGACATCCTACAATTTCTCGAGATTAATGTTAAGATCCTTGAAACAGGTTCACTACATATATTCAAGAAATTGGATATTGGCTTCTTAGACGTGGGCGATTATTTTGGTATGTTTCTGTTCTTCTTCCTTTATCTAATGTGTGTATAGAAAGCCAGAGCATTATTATCACTCTTATTTTGCTTATGGGATAGTTTAGAACTAGAGTCTGGCTTCCTGCATTTTATGTGTGCGCATTTTGTATTTTTCAATCTCGGCATCTATGTATTTAGTTGGTAGAGCATTCCTCACGGTTGACCCTCAACTTTCAGGTTTATATCTATTAAGTTCTTTACTTTAATAGGTAGGTATTTAATAAGTTCCTAAACTTTTATAAGTTAGGCAATCAAGTTCTCAATTTTATTTCTAATATTAATTTCCCTGGTTTACTGCTTACATCTTCATACTGTCCGTATTATTCAAAGATTATACAGTGATTAAAGATTATTAACCTTATATATACTTTGTCATTTGGTCTTGTTTGCTATTCAATATATTTTTTCCCATTCATTCATTAATTTGTCTCTTGCAGCCCTAGGAGCAATCTTATCAGCCACAGATAGTGTTTGCACTTTGCAGGTACGTGTCAATTTCAGTGGATTATGTCACTCAACAATGTACCCATAATTTGCTTATTTTTCTTCTAATGCTGTAGGTGCTTAATCAGGACGAGACTCCTTTACTGTATAGTCTAGTCTTTGGTGAAGGTGTGGTTAATGATGCTACTTCTGTCGTGCTTTTCAAAGCAATCCAGAGATTCGACCTCTCTCACATCACCTCATCCAATGCCATTCAGCTTCTTGGAAATTTTTCCTATTTATTTTTTATGAGCACCTTGCTGGGAGTGATAGTGAGTCTCTTTTTCAACACGTTTTCTCCTGTCTTATTTGCAATAATCTCAAGTCAACCACCACAAATTCGCTTAGTTTCATTGTGACAGATGAAAAAGTAAAGGGATTTAGAGGAAATAGGTATAAACCATGGTGATCACCTACTTAATATTTAAAATTGCTCGTTTTCTTGACAACCAAGTATAGTAGAGTCAAACAGTTGTCGTATGAGATTAGTCGAGCTGGTCACAAGTTATAACAAACACTCATAGATACATGGAAAAGAGTAAATCTCAAGTCAAAGTCTATTTGGTGGCATTGAGAAATGTATTTAAATTGATGGACCATGTGTGAACGAGAATAGTATAGAACACTGTTAGGAACTTAAAGACAGTGAAGGTGCAAGAATTACAAATATCATATGTTCTGGGAAGATAAGGGGCTGTATATCATGTGATTTTAGAAAAATGTTGGTAGGGGCGGATCGATCTTTCCATCAGTTAACACTGGAAAAAGCCTCGAGGCTGCATAAACTATTTTATTATTCAAATTTGTTTATCTGTCAACTCAGTTTTTGGTTCTTAGGAAATTGAGACTACTTTAATTCACAGGTTGGGCTGTCCAGTGCATACATCATAAAGAAACTGTACTTTGGCAGGCAAGCACTTTTTTTTCCTCCCTCTGTTCATTAAGTTCATTTCTTTTGCTAAACGAATTCCAATGTAGTGTATGAAACGCGACCCTTGTCATTGATAAAAAGGATTTAGATTTACTTGGAACTTCGAATCAGTGGAATTGTTGATTAACTTGCTTATATTGGAATAGGGTTGGAGGTTTTTTGTATCTATCATCGTATAAATTTCAAGTTGAAGTCAAACGCTATATTCTAAGCTCTTTCAAAATTTTAGGCACTCGACTGATCGGGAGGTCGCTTTGATGATTTTAATGCCTTACCTTTCGTATATGACTGCTGAAGTAAGACTACAGAAATATTTGATTTTAATTGATATCATATTTGATTTTGGCTATCATTTGATGATGCAATTGCTTATTTATTGCAGTTGTGCAATCTTAGTGGTATTCTTACCATGTTCTTTTGTGGGATTGTCATGTCCCATTACACTTGGCATAATGTGACTGAAAGTTCAAGAGTGACCACCAAGTATGTTCGTTCTTTCTTTTGGTCTCATTGGATCTGCTTTTTCATAGTCTAATAATGTATTTGAAAATTTTTGAAGTACTGATATAGTTTTTTTTCCCTTCCGTTGTTTATTGATTCTTGTAGGCATACTTTTGCAACGCTCTCATTTGTTTCAGAGATTTTCATCTTCTTATACGTTGGCATGGATGCCTTGGATATTGAGAAGTGGAAAATTGTTGGCCGAAGGTGAGTTTCTTAAATTGGCTATCTTGGAGTTGTGATGCATGCATTCATCATTCTTATAAGTGTCATTAAGCAGTTTATCAATAGGATTACTGAAGGATTATCTAACTGTTAAGAATATGAATATAAAATTGAATTTACAGTAACACATCGGTCCAAGCTTATGGTGTTTAAACTCCTATGATTCTTATCAACTTTTATTTTACAAGCTTGGAAATTAGCAAAACGCTCAATAAGTGGCTATCAATCGAGGGAGCTATAAGAGTAGGAATTCTCGTGTTTAAACTCCTATAACGTCATTTTTGCCCTCGATTAAAATTATGTGATCTATTAGATAGAACTTGGTTGAAATTATCGACCGTATAGCTTTCAAGTGTTGTGGACCCATACATGTACATAATACAAATCTTTCTCTGCCCTGCACTTTTTGCATTACATAATATGTTGCCTTTTGACAGGCCTTGGACATCGGCTGGTGTGAGTCTAATACTGCTTGGTTTAGTCCTTGCTGCAAGGGCAGCTTTTGTATTTCCGCTCTCGTTTATATCGAACTTGACTAGAAAGTCTCAGAGTGACAAAATTGGGTTTAAGCAGCAGGTAGCTATATTTTCGTTAAATTAACATGTTTGGTCTATCAACTTTCAAGTTATGTCCAATAAGTTCATGTATTTGAAAAGGTTTCTAATAAGTCCTTGGACTTATTTTAAAATTTTATATTAGGTTTTAAAACTTATTCATTTTACTTATGGCAATTCCTTGCAGGTTACAATTTGGTGGGCTGGGCTCATGAGAGGTGCTGTGTCTGTGGCCCTTGCTTATAATCAGGTACTCTTGCTTTAGATTTCTGGGAATTTTGCTCCTTACTATGAAATAACTTATTCTAGGTCTTATTAGCAAACCACAAAGGACCAACAGCTTACTAAAAACTGTGTGGACACTTTCAAAAGTATGGACTTTTTGTGATCAAAGATGGGTTTTGTAATATTTGCAGTTTACAAGGTCAGGGTACACACAGCTGCAAGAGAATGCGATTATGATTACTAGCACGATCACGATTGTTCTCGTCACTAATGTGGTAAGAGAAATGATGCATCGAGTTTAAGATACTGACATATCGCTGTTTTGATTACTTCACTTCTCTTCATCTTAACCATAATGCCGTTGGAGTGCGCCTAAAGTCCGATATTGGCCAAGAAAAAGGAAAATCAGGAGTATATTAGTGTTTGACAACCTCTTTAGGGTGAAGCCTAAAGTAAGACATTTTGAGTAAAACCAAAAACAAAATTACGAGAGCTTAGGCCTAAAATTGACACTATCGTACTATTTCTCTAATAGGATACATTACATTCTCCTGCCTAGTTTCTTCAAGATAAATATGGGTCGAGTTTTACCTTTTCTCGCTCATTAGAATAACGTTGTAGTTCAATGTAATGACTTAAGTTCATTGCTAGCAAATTTTGTCCTCTTTCGGCTTTCTCTTTTGGAGTTCCCTTTAAGGTTTTTAAAACGCGTCTGCTAGGGACAGGTTTCCACACTCTTAAAAAGAATGTTTTGTTCTCCTCTCTAATCGACGTGGGGTCTCACAATCCACCCCTCTTCGGGGCTAGCGTCCTCACTAGCACTCGTTCCCCCCCCTCCCCCAGTCCACCCCCCAATCTCACAAGCGTTCTTGTTGGCACACTACCTCGTGTCCACCTCTTTTGAGGCTCAGCCTCCTCGTAGGCACATCGCCCAGTGTCTAGCTCTGATACCATTTGTAACAGCCCAAGCCCACCGCTAGCACATATATTATCCTCTTTGGGAGATCCCTTTCAGGCTTCCCCTTAAGGTTTTTAAAACACGTTTGTTAGGGAGAGATTTCTACACCCATATAAAGAATGCTTTACTCTCCTCCCCTTGTGGATTTAATATTAAGTGTTTTGAAGTGGTTGCTGTTATCATGTTTAGCTCTTGGTGCAATTTTAGATGTTTCTAGCTGTTCCTCTGACTGCCCTATTCAATTGTTTCATCATCCAATTTGTGTACTGTTTCATCCTACACACCTGGTTGAAAGGTTTCTAATGTGAAAAAATCTTCAGAAGGGTTTTCATTTCATGGTGTTACATTTATGGCAGGTATTTGGACTCTTAACTAAACCCATTGTAAGGTACATGCTTTCACTGCATGATACACCAATAGATGGCACATTTGTAGCAGCAGATTCTCCAGTTAAGTCGCTGACCGATGTTCTTTTGTCCGGTGGTGAAGATGTCGAAGCCGATGTTGGAGAATCGAACATTCCCCGTCCTACCAGCTTACGTATGCTGTTAACAACTCCAACTCACTCCGTCCATTACTATTGGCGGATGTTCGATGATCGATACATGCGTCCTGTATTTGGTGGAAGAGGCTTCGTACCTTTCATCCCTGGCTCACCAACTGAGAAGTATATCCACTGATGGCAGATTGTATAGCAAACACATGAAGTTTTGTAGCACAGCTATTCTTTAGAATAACATGAGGAAGAGTAAGTCATATACAGCTATACAGCTAGAAGATGGCACACCAATTACCATGTGTAAAGAAGGTTGGAAACTGTAGGGTAGCGCAGTTAGAGCCTCGTTAGCAAGTGCTTAGAAATATGCTTTTTTCCCTCGAAAGCACGTTTTTAAGCACTTGTGAAGTTATGTCGGAGGTATCTCATTTTTAGAAACTTTTAATTATGTTTTTTTAATAAAAGTGTTCGTATTTGTACATAAGTAACATGCTAAATCTCGTTTATTTAATAATGTAATTTGTAATTTAACACATTATATATATATATATAATTGCAACTTTCAAAAATTGCAATTTTAAATTTTCAAATACTAAACTTACCCTTAATTTACTCAAGTATTTTGATAATGTTATATTTGCAATTACAAGTTTGGGTTTATTTTTGTAATATTTGCAGGAAAATAGGTTAGAATTGCGATTGTACTAAAATGAAAATGAAAATGAAAGTAATAAAATTTAACTTTTGGAATTCATATAAATTCGTGGCTCTGGCCGCTGGCGCCAAAAACAAGAACTCCGTCTCTGTAATGGAATTGCAAGGAGAGAGAACTGTATTCCGTCGCCGGAGACGAAAGCTTCGCTGCTTAACGCCATGAACTTCCTATTTCATCAGGGTTCTTCCGTCAAGAACTCCGGTCAACATTGGGATTCCTTCCTCTGCAAGTTTCAAATTACAGCTTTCGGTTCTCTCTCTCTCTCCATATGTGTGTGTGTGTGTGTGTGTGTGTGTGTGTGTGTGTGTGTGTGTGTATGCTTCGATCACTCTTGATTTCTTATAGATTTCTGTTTTTCTTTTCATCTTTTCTCTTTATTTTGCGTTGCTGAGGTAGACGATTCTAGGTTTGTGGTTTTTGCTTGCTAATTTTCAGCTTCTGCATTTGGCATTATGTTCATTTACTGCCAGTCCGCGAGTTTTCTTTTTCTTCACTAATCGTTGGAGTGGAAAGATTTGAAAATTTGGCGCTGTGTTGTTATCGTTCTTTGCCTTTTGTGGCTGATTTTAAAATCAGATTATCGACGTTTTGTTAAATATCTGCATGATGAATATCTGTAAGCAGCCAAGAATTCACGAGCTATCGATATAATATAACAAAGGACTTGAATAATTTTGCAGTGTTTTTCTTTCGGAATTTACCAGACTAGGTTCTTGGCTTCATGGATTCAAGTCCATTCGCGTTTCTGTCGCAATTGGGGCTGAAAGCAGACCCGTAAGCGGCGCACTTCACATTCTTTGCGGTGCTACTCCTTGTTTGTTATCTAATTGTTCGCCTTTTTTGAAAAGAAACGTTGGCCGAATGAGTCAATTACTTCCCTAGCCATGTAAGTTTGCATTTAAAGCTCATTGGGTTGAAGTATAAATTTATTGTTTCATGGGACTTGATGGATCTTTAGTACCATGACGATATAGATTTTAGGCTGACTGGGAAGTGTAGAACACCCCGAGTTTATTAGGCAATTGGCTTTACATTAAATCTTAATCCCGTGTTTATGATTTTCCAGTTTATTTCATTTTTTAACTTTCTGGTCTGTTTTAGATTAAATTTTACACCTACTACAGGTTTCAGGTGAAGAAGAAACAGCTCTTCGCAACTTTCTGGCAATCATATTGTTTGGTGCTTTTGGAAGGGTGATATCATTCTTCATCATATCAGTAGGTACATTCCTTGAACATTATAATTTCATCATATACCCCATATCCAAATGGGGGAGGAATCACCATGACTTGCATTCAATTTTTTAGAAATACAAAATCCGCACAAACTAATCTACAACTATAGTGAATAATGGGTGCAGGAAATGCTCAATTGTTAATTTATTCCGTTTTAAATCTCTTATATCAAACTAGTTTTGCTTTCTGGAACTAAGGTTTACAATAGATAAAATTATATTCACAAGTTTGTTGGATAATGATACTAATAAATCTAAATCTTATTGGGTGCATCTTTTTTCAACCTTCAGCCTTATCTTTTTTCTGTGAAAACAATAACTTCCCAGATCATGAATAATAACTAATTGGGCGGGTTACGTTCAAACTTACCGCTACAAGAGCATCATTTTCAGACCTGCAGTTGGCTATACATTGAACGTAAAAGCTCTGTAATTTTTCTTGACACACTTCCTTGCTAACTGAAAGAGGGACTTCGTTGAAAAAATATACAGGAAGCCTACCATATGTTTATATATCAAAACACCTGCATAGTTTTATGTTGATATCTTTTGATTTATGTAAATGTAACGTGAAAACTCATGACACAGGTTCCCTCAACTTATTCAAGAAATTGGATGTTGGCTTACTAGACACGCAGGATTATTTTGGTACATTTCAATCCTATGTCATGTTTAATTTTGGTACATATATGTACTTCTAGCACTTATTCTTACAAGTTGTTGGGTGAATTGTTTTCCTTTTTTTTTTCTTTTTCCATTTAAATGGTGAGAATTGAAACAGGGGATGGGTCCCTCCCTTTCTTCAATTCACACCCATGCTAAAAGATCTTATTTAGTTTAAAATTTATTATTCCAGATGTCTAATAGATTTGGTAGGCATTTATTAGGTACAACACGTGTCAATAGGAATAATGTTCTCTCAAATGGTACAATATTTATGGAAACTGAAGATATTGTGTTCGAGCAAGTGACTTTAATCTCCTTTTTGATACTATGTTCAACCACTTTCTCTGTTCTGCTTTTCATAATTTCATGTTTCTTATAGTGTTGTTATTTATCATATTTTTTTGTACTTGTAGCACTTGGAGCAATCTTAACTGCGACAGATAGTGTTTGCACCTTGCAAATACGTTCCTCTAATGGTTTCCATGGCTTATTTGTACATATAATAGATGCACTTGATTGAGTCTGGTCTTTGGCGAAGGTGTGGTCAATGATGGTAACTCTTCAATGCAATCAGGAAATTTTACCTCTCTCACATAACTTCAACAAATGGCATTCAGTCAGCCGGAAGTTTCTTAAGTTTGTTCTTGGAAAGCACATTGCAGGGAATAGCAGGGAATCTCTCACATACAAAGTCATTATTCGATGAGGTTATGGTCTAATAATATGTTTATTTGTTTGTTGCTCTTTGCTATGCGATTTGATTCGTTATTATGTCCTTATTAATTTTTTTTTTTTTTTTTGGAGGCTTCCCGCTAATGTGCATTTATCACGAAGAAGCTATTCTCAGTCAGGTACGAACGTACAATTCAACACATTTATATTTTCATACACCACAAGAATTGAGTGATCCATTGCATGACGACAATGATCTAAAATCCAACCTGACCAAACTGTTTTATGTCGTTTTTTATAGCATCTCTAACTTAGTGTCTCTATTACTATTGGCACATGTTTGATGATTGAAGCATCTCACTCCCTCTACTTCTCCGTGATTATTTCCATACGTACATACACATACGTATGTCATGGCACACGGACGTGCATATAATTAGATACATACTAGACCTAATGATCAAGTGCAATACTTAGGAGTCAATATTGTTTTGTTTTTGGTGGAGTAAAAGAGTTGGTGTAAATCATAAGAGGGAGGAGCATTCGAATAATGGGGTGGGCTCTTCCATAAAGTATGTTGGTGTTTTGGGAAACTTGAATTAGAGTTAGTTTCGGTGTCTAATCATATGCATGTACTTTGTCCTAATGTTTAAGTAATGATTTTAAGAACTGAAATTCTAAATATAAAATTAATTATTTAAATAAATTTATTAAATAGGCACAACTTCCCATAATCAAGAATTACTATTTCACACTTCATTTATTTTCTCATTTTTTTTAATATCTTTTTATTTTTTTTCGCTGCTAAGTTTCGTTTAATAAATATTTAATTTTTAGTTTTTGAAAAAATAAGTTTATAAATATTACTTTTATTTATATATTATCTACTTTATAATAATATTTTTAAACTTATTTTTATTTTAGAATTTGAATTATTTTATGAAAGAAGAAGATGACTGTAAAAATAAAATAAAAAGTTTCTATATCCTCGAATTTTTGCACTAAAAATAGATTTAATTTTTTTAATACAAAGTTGATAATTTAAATATAGAATAGAACATTAATAAATTTAGAGAAACAAAATTTAAAATAGAAATTAAAATATTAAAATACTGTGTTATTTTGGAGAGGACAAGCTTTTGAGTTGTTGGAAAATGAGGAAGAAAAGCAATGAAAGCCAAAAGGGCAACTTTTTTGTAAGGTGCTTTTAGGTAGGGTTCATACATTCCTCGACTTACCCATTATGCTTATCATTTATACATTTATACTTCTATTTCATTAAAAACTAAGATTTTTTTTCATTGTTTACTTTCTTCAAAAATATTATTTTATTATAAATATAAGTTAATACAGTTATTTTGAAAAGTATAGGTTTGATCGGGTTGTGTGGGTTGATAATTCAAACTACGCAAATAGAGTTTACAACTTAATCCAGCCTTCTATTTCAAGTTGGGTTGTCCTATCTTTTCGGTCATAACACAAAAACATTGTTATGGTTGGGTTGGGTTGTAATCATATTTTCAAATAGATTGCGGTGGGTATGGTTGATTTGATTAAAAAAATTAATAATAATAATCTAATGCTACCTTATGTTTATGATTTGAGTTGAATACTTCTATAGTGGGGTTTTCAAGTAATTTGAACGCTCATTCTCTAAATTATTATCTATATATATATTATAACAAGAATATCTCAAATTTTGAACTTGGCAAACCTTCTCTAACATAATTATTTTTCTTTCACTCAAACGTTAAAAAGAACAATTCAGTTATTTTATGGGAAAAAAGATAAAATATGGAATTAAAAAAATGAGGGAAATACAAAAAATCAAAATTTTATATCAGAGAAGAGATAACGTAAAGGAAGAGAATTGCAAGTGCCAATACAACTACACTCCAATGTCCACTAAAACCCCAACAACGCCGGCTAACCAGTCACCGGCAAACTTCCTCTACGATAGCCGCCGTAAGAGCCACCCAAATCGACCAACACCACCCACCGGAGTTGAGAGTAGCAGCGGCAGAGAACGGCAAGGACTGAGACGGTGGAAGAGGCATTTCCGGCGCCGGTGTGGCGTCCATAAAATCGGGGTTCGGAGGGCTGGGGCTAGAGGGGATGGTGGGCAAAGAGGACGGCGGAAGAGTGGCACCGCCGGGGGTCGGAAAGAGCGGAGAAATGTCCGACGCCGGCGACGGAGAAGGGGACGGCGAAAATTCAGGCGCGGCGGAGATGGAAGAAATGAGGGGAGGGAAGTGATTGGGATAAGAAGCGAAAGAGAAAGCGAAAATAGAAGCTGTGTAGGCCATGAAAATGGGGATGTAGAGAGAGAAAATGGAAGCCATTTTGTGGGATGAGAGAGAGAGAAGACGAAGAAGAAGAAGAAGAATGAAGGAGAAGCAAGAAACCCAGAGAGGGGGAAAAAGGGATTATGATTAAAGCTGAAAAGGTAAGGGAGGGGGTGCCTGTGATGTGAGTTAGCTAAGGTGTAGTCAGAATGACACGTGGCTAATGTTTAGTGGGCTGTGATGTGATAACACAGCTTGGCAAGTGATACTAACAGACAAAGCTTCATAGTGTTGTTGGGTCTCTTTACCTTTGTCAAGCACATGGAAATGTTTTTCTTCTTTATTATTATTTTTCTTGTTTTTATCTTTTTGCATTTGGTGTTTATGTGTTGTTTTGTGATGTGTGGGTGTATGCCACTATTGTTTTTTTTATAATTAAACTCCATTTCGTTATTTTTCACCTCTTCCGAGAATCTATCGATATTTTTTTTTTAAATATCGGAATGAGAGATTCAAACTTTTGACCTCTGGGTCGAGAATATACATCGAAAACAAGATCTAGAATTCACGGATATTTAGCTATTTTAATTATAAATTTCAAACTTAGTTTTCATATGACTCGGGATATTGTCCCTAAATTATCTTTTACCGACTTGAAAATTCACCTATTTTCTTTATTTGTTACTAGCTCTTGTATTATATCCGTACAATCCTATTTTATTTTGATCGTATTTGGATAAAAGAAAATTCGTGGAACTTTTGAGCAAGTTTTTGTTGTGAGCCCTTATCGGTGTTATATATGTGCCAAGTGAAACGTGGGCTTGGGCTTGCCTCGAAGTTTTTGTTGCGAGCCCTTATCGGTGTTATATGGGCCCTGCAAAACGTGGGCTTGGGCTTGCCTCGAAGTTTTTGTCGTGAGCCCTTATCGATGTTATAAATGGGCCCTGCGAAACGTGGGCTTGGGCTTGGCTCGAAGTAGAAGGTAGGTGTAAAGCATTCTTTCAATTAGGCCCAGCCCATAAATCCAATAATTTTTTTTTGTATTTTAACCATAAAAAGAAAATTAATAAAATCAAATGATGTTAATAAAATTACCAAAAGAACCCTTCATTTAGCACCAAATTCCTTAATCCTCACGTTAATTTCGTAATTTGACTCTCACAACCGCCTAACCACGTACAATAAGTTCACCCTTTATCTTCCACACACAACACTAAAATTACATTTCAACAGAAACGGTAAACAAGAAGAAAGAAAAATGGAGACTACAGTGATCATCGTCGGAGCAGGTCCGTCCGGCCTATCCACCGCCGCCTGTCTATCTCGAGCCTCGATACCTTACAAACTCCTTGAACGAGAAGATTGCTCTGCTTCGCTATGGCGGAAATATGCGTACGATCGATTGTGTCTCCATCTTCCGAAGAAATCCTCAGAGCTTGCGTTTATGGAGTTTCCGTCTTCTTTCCCTAATTACGTGCCGAAGAAGATGTTTCTCGAGTATTTAGATTCTTATATTTCGAATTTCGGAATCGATCCTCTGTACCTGAGGAAGGTGGAGGCGGCGGAGTACGATAGGGATTTGAAGAAGTGGAAGGTGAGAGTGAGGAATAGTGAGGGCGGCGGAGAAATCGAGGAGTATGTTGGACGGTTTTTGGTGGTGGCGACGGGGGAGACAGCGGATCCGTACATGCCGGTGGTGGAGGGATTGGAGAGATTCGGCGGCGAAGCGATTCACTCGACGAGGTATAAATCGGGGAAGGGATTTGAGGGGAAAAATGTGTTGGTGGTTGGGGCGGGAAATTCTGGAATGGAAATTGCTTTGGATCTTGCGAATCACGGCGCTACAACTTCCATCCTCGTTCGAAGTCCGGTAATCCACTTTCCACTCTATATTTTTCTGTTTTAAATTTATTGAAAATTCGTCCTTTCCGTACTTTAACAAAAAAAAAAAAAAAAAAAAAAATCCTGAAAATCAAATTTAACAATTTTTTTTTCACCATTCATATTTTTCTTCCTATAAAATACACTTTTTTAATCACTAATTTAAGTTAGAAAAGGATATATAATTTAGAGATTTTTAATTTTTTTTATATCTCAAACAAANTAGAAATCCATTTTCAAAATAATTAAATACCTACAATTTTATAATCAAATTTCATAATAAAAATTATAACATTCAACTAATATATTGTTTCGATAAAAGAAAATTAAAGGTTTTAATTCTGACTAAGAAATTTATTCAAATCTTAAACTTTTGTTAGTCAGAATTGACAAGAATTTATTAGACAGAAAATAAAAAAAAAGTTTATTAATCTGTTTGATTATAAATTTATACTTTAAGCTAGTTTTAATGAATTGAAACAGATCCATATTATGACAAGAAGAATGATGAAGTTGCAAGTGTTGTTGGGACAATATCTGCCATTAAGGCTTTTGGATTCATTAATGGTGTTTCTGAGTAAGATGATTTTTGGAGAGTTGAGTAAATATGGTATTAAGAGATGGGAAAAAGGGCCCATCCACATGAAGAGGCACCATGGAAAGTTCCCTGTCATTGATGTAGGAACCTTCAACAAAATCAAATCCGGTGAAATTCAGGTACTCATGATCCCTTATCCTTTATATACTTTTCTGAGTAAGATAAGATCGAGTCCTGATATGTATGTAAGCTCCCATGTAGTTTATTAATATGTAAAGATTTGTAATTGTAATTGTAGGTGATATCTTCAGAAATATCAATGGTAGAAAGCAACAATAATGTGATGTTTAAAGATGGTAAACTTCATCCATTTGATTCCATAATATTCTGCACTGGCTTCACTAGCTCAGCTAAGCTGTGGCTTAAGGTATAATCTCCATCCCTCTTTCCAATAATCTTGTACACGAAATCTAATTTTAATTCCTATATTAATATACTTCACTAAACCCTTCCTAGCCTATTAAGATATGATATTTAGAGATATATTTTAATAATTAGTTAAGAGTATATCTGAGATATTTAAGGGATCTGTAGGAGTCTCTTAGACGGAATAGCAGCTTGTTATCAAGATAGACGGGATAACTCATATAGCTTATGATTCCTCAAAAGGGGCTTGATCGTGTACTTATCCCCATGAAAAGTTGCTAAATGGTTCATTAGGTACCAATAAAAGTTGTGTTGTGAATGTAGGTAGACCGTTAAAGTTGTGTTGTGAAAGTAGGTAGGCCGTTTTAATCAATGGATTGAATCCCATGGCTCTATAAAGCTATAAAGGATAAAGTCAAACAACATCTTTTAACTCCTCTCTTAAAAGGATTCAATAAATTGATAATTGAGTAATTTTATTTATTTACCAGATTTAGTTAGTTATATATTTTTGTATCATATTTATAGGTGGTAAACATCAATGTATTTCGATCCAAATTCTAGTTCTATTTCTCATTCTTAGCATAACCTAATGAATAAAGAGTATTAATAAAATTGTTAAACCTCTACTTAACAACACGTTCGGCATATCTGTTAGCGGAGATGGAAGATTCAAAATCTCGAGACTCGCTGAATATTGTAATTTTTATAATTTTTGAGTCGGATCCATTGGATCGTCTAAGATGTTTTTGACGCAGGATGACGATTATCTCCTAAATGATGATGGACTATCCAAAGTGAGTCCACCCAATCACTGGAAAGGAGAAAATGGGCTTTATTGCGTGGGCTTATCCAAAAGAGGGCTCTATGGGTCCAAGGTTGAGGCCCAAGAAGTTGCCAATGGCATAGCGGCCCAACTCCATTGTGTTTAATGTTATTATATTCGCATTAAAACCTTATTTGTAAAATATATTAGAAACGAAATTAATTAAGAAGAATGTAAGAACTCGCGTCTCCTGGACCTCCGTTGCGATGGCACGTTTCATGTCCAAATATATTAAAAAATAATTATTTACAAAAAAATTTAGTAAAATATCTTGTATCTAAAAACTTATTCAATTTTAATTTATTATATTTTCAAATATAGTTTCAATAACTCTTACAAATGTTAAAAGTAGAGACCTAAATTATTAACGTGCTAAATTTTACAAACTAATTTAAATAAAATAAATCAAAGTATATTTTACCGAACGAGTAGCAATGACCGACACCACTCCATGACTTGAGATGACATAAAGACATGTGGGTAATGTCGATTGGGAATCAAGATGACAAGATAAAATGCAATGTTGCATTGAGAAACCTTGACCTTGACTTAAATTAAAGTAGAGGTAAGTCAGTTGTGTTGCAAACGATTGAACATGCACGTGTAGGCAGCATGTGTAGTCAAACAAGCTTGGATTCCGCATTGGTTGATAAAGATAAATCTCGCCAAAAGTTCAACGAAACCACAATTTTTACAACAAAACCCTCTCTTTTCGAATTTTTAGATTAGATTCAGTTGAGTCCAAGTTGGGTTATCAATTTTTTTTTAAGTTTTATTTATCTTCGAATTTTCATTTCAGATTAAGTTCAGTTGAGTCCGAGTTGGGTTGTCAATTTTTTTTTTAAGTTTTATTTATTCACTATTCATAATTATTCGGATACAATCTTAGGTAAAATATATTAAAAGTTCACAAATAAACACAAATCAATCTATAATTATTGACAAAAAAAAAAAAAAAAAAAAAAAAA